GCTGGGATCGTTGTGTTCACTCCCAGGGGAACTACTTCGAGGGTGATGGATGAATTTAATACCTGAGATAAGTGTACGGGTTTTTATACGCGCAGTCTTGAAACCTTTCGATCGCATCTCGTATTCCCTCCCTGATAATTACAGACTGTAATGCAACGGTTAAAATGAGGTCCAGTGTCTGAGTTGCAACATTTCACGGAGCGAAAGTATTCGTTACATGTTACCAACCTCTGAAGTTTTATGGCATGGATCTGAACTATTTCGTGAGTAGGATAATAAATGGAAATGGAAAAGAGGGTGTTCTGTGGGGGTGTGGAGAGACGTAAAGGGTAGTTAAGGTTTATGTGGCGATAACTAGTTCTGGAGTGATTTCTTTTAGGGTAGGAGTTGAAAGGAATAAGATGCGGGTATATTCAGGTCTTGTTTATGCGCTGGTTGTTTCATATCGATGACTCTGCTAACATAATAACCTACGTAAACCAGAGGAGTATTCACGTTTTATCTTTTCTCTTCCTACAACACGGTAAATATAATTTTCGATACGGCAGGGGCCCACGAACCACTAGTTCTAAAACACCATTTAAAATTAATGCATTTCTGTCACCAAAGTACCGTACACCAAGACCTAGATTTCAATTTCTTCAACAGTCGCATTAAAGAATATTTTGTGAATGTCAATGCAATATAATCACGTCAAAAGCTGAAGTGGTTCTTACAAACTATAAGCAGCAAAGGAATTATACACAGAAAATCCTCACAAACAACACCAATGAGTAATAATGTTCTCTCAGATAAGAACAGAACTCTGAAATACAGCAGACTCCCGATTATCCAACCTACACGTGACCGAAAGACAGCCAGATAATGTAAAATGTCGGATAATACGGAAAACTAATAAAGAAGTCGATGGCAAATATGAACCAACATTCATAACTCAATTTAATATATTATTAAATTACGAAGAAAAGAAGGCGTTAAATAAAGAATTTCACAAACAAAAATTGCAAATGAACGAGTTTTATTTTGAATACATTCGGTATTTCCTTCTGAGCCTCCGTCCTTTTCTTTCTGACAAGGTCACAAGGTCCCGCCAGCGTCTGCACAGCAGAACGTCTTAGGGCGGTATCGCACTAGGATGCCAACGGGAGGCCATGGCGCAGCTGCCAGCATCTCGGCCAAACTCAATGCATTAATTAAGTAGTCATAATCGCATCCGGCATCCGTCTGGCAGCGCTTCCAACTTGGCATCGCTGCCAAGTTCAAATGCTACTGGCATCGCTGCCACGGCCAAGGCCAAATCAACATCACATGACAGTCTGGCCAGTCCATTGACGTCCGTGCGTGAATGTGCTTGTGTGTATTTCTGTTTCTTCCAAACGTGGATAATTTCGACACCGAAAGATTGATAATTGAAATTCAGTCCCGACCATCACTATGGGATTCATCTGCTATTGAATACGCAAACCGGGACTTGAAAAAAAGAAACTGGGTAGAACTTGTGGAAATATTTGGAGGAGATTTATTTACAGTAGAAAAGAAAGAATTAGCTAAGAAGTGTTTCTATGGCTTTATTTGTGGGGCCGCTTTCCAATATGGCAACTTGATTTTTAAGTTTTTTTGTTTAGCAATCTATATATCACAAATAACGTGAATTAAGAAGAAACCTGCTTTTATAATATCTATCTATATATCACAAATAATGTGAATTAAGAAGAAACCTGCTTTTATAATGTTTTATTAAATAAAGTTTGTTCATGTAATATTACATGTGATTTGCAAGAACTGAAATATTTCAAATTCAATAATGGTATGGACGTGCAAAGTGTGTGTATGGAGAATTTTTCTTACTTATTTCTTTGTTACAGAATTGAAATTCACTCCAGGTATGTAGTTTTGATAAAGGTAAATCTCATTTCCTCAAAAGTGATAAAAGTGGACATTTCTCCTTCCTAATAGCCCTTCATTTCGTGATCTCATAACGTTGATCCATCTGTTCGCTCGACTGGCGTCGAAAGCTGGCAGTTTGTCTGGCGTCTTTTTCTGGCAGCTGGACGCCATGGCATCGCTGTTGGTGTCGCTGCCATGGCTTCCTTGTGCGATACCGCCCTTAGTGGTCGTGTCCCTTCGTTGCCCAACGTAAGCAAATGCCAGGCGTCGATAAAACGTAAGGTCGGATAACCAGCCCGTACTGTCCACAATTCGGCACTGAATAAGAGGGCAGAGTCAGAAATATAACTGGTATCATTCTTACCTCGGTTCATTAGTAACTTTCGAGATAAAATATATCCGAAACACCTACCAGAATCAAACCCCGATACAGTGCCCCTGTTCATACCGCCAACCTAACACAGCGCTCAAGACAACGTCAAACAGAATCCCGATAAAGCGCCACTCGCATAGCCGCCTCGCCTACCTGTGACAATACTCCGGTATAGCTGTTTAACGGCGCTACTGAACTTTTCCGTAATGGCATTCTCTTTGAGCAACGAACATACAATACACATCTCATTTTGAGATGATAAAGTTGCGTCATATTGTGATAAATATATATTTGTTTAAATCTTGTCAGTCTAATCACAATAAAATTCCTATTAAATATTAAAATATTACTATATTATATACTTTTTTGTTGTTGTTTTTGTATCAGCCTGTAATGTAAATAATATAAAGACTAAATAAAATAAATAAAATAAGTAAAATAAATAAAATAAAATAAAATATATTTCATTTTGAATACAATCGTTAGAGTGGTAACAACGTTAAATAAATCCTGTTTAACGAAGTTATTATGATGGAGATGTTATCTACGTCGTTCACGCTCATTATGAAAACTAAAATATAATTTTATATCCAGCCGTTTCTGAATCACACATGAATTTATACTCTACACTCAGCACGCCACTGCTGGTATGCTAATGGTAAGAACATCCCGAGATGTGTTCAACTGTGACACAGCATCTGCAATGAAAATCTATAAAAATTACAGGAATATAGAAAAAGACAATACGAACAGCTTCTCTTATGGACTGATGGGACTTTCTCAGAATGGTATCCTGTTCTGTCAAATCATTTTCACGTATAGTTAATAATTCGTCAAATGATTCTATGGTTAAACGCAGATAGCTGAAGAACTTATCAGGATATTTTCTTAAATCATTGCTGACCTCATCACTGAACGCCTTACGCTGCACAGTGGATCCATCTGTCGTGGAACTCTCCCTACATGGCTCTCGGCAATCAGAGGTAAATTAGGTTGGTCAGACTGTAATATATCTTTCATCGTCATGAATGTTTAATGAAAGCTACGCGTTGGAATATTTTGTCCAGAGGGATTTGAATTGATTTGTTTTATCATCACAGTGAGATTGATAGAATTGGAGGGAGATAAGACAGCGATAATGGACTGTGAGAACGTAACTATTGACATACATTCCTTGTCTCTTGTTAGTTACTGGATTTTGTAATCCTCTCTTCACAGCTGTGCTTTCAGACAGTGGCTACGCTGTAAGGAATTCTGACAACACTGTACGTAACACGTGTGTAACAAGCCTGCTCTGCGCGAGTTTCGTAATCAGTAGGTAGTCGTTTCACTGTGGTGGTAGGAGCTGTGTGAACCAGAGGGAAAACTTAAGAACGGTTGGTAATTCAAACAAACTCTCGTCCTGGACGGCCACCGACCGTAACTGATAAGGGACACATCTAAGAAGACGGAAAACAAGCACTGATAAAATTGTATCTTAATCGTCTTTCCAGAGAACGCATTTCTACTGCAAGTTTCGACAGATTACTGAAATTATTCTGCCTTTCAACGCACACACCAACAGAAGTACCAGCGACTACCACAAAGTCTCACGATACAGGCGCCTTGAAACCTATCACTGAAAGTGAGTTGACATTTTATATTTCCTCAAGGCTAAACGAAAGTGTAATTTATTACGTATGTCAACAACAGAAAAAAAACGAAACAAAGAAACATTCATTTTTATGTAGCCACAATCTATAAAACAGTTCCTTTAATAGATGGAAGACTTTTTTTTCAACATCCTACAGAGAAATTACACAAGAAATGACGTCATATTTCAATAACACTATAAATGTCAAATACCAAAACAAAATTAGCTTAGGTCAAAATGTACCAAATCTCTTTACTTCCGTAACAGTATATTCGTGGATTCTTACGGTTGCTAGGTTATGTAAAGGAACTTAGTCAACTGTACAAGAGCTTAAGTTCAAATTATAAGATGCTAATCGCTTTCGATGTATTCTAAGGAATTCGTACATAGGGACTGTTTACAATCACATAAGAACTATGAATAATCTATGCCCATGTGGAGATTCGAACAAGGTGCCTCCAGATATTGTACAGTCCTAAAAATACTGAAATAATCAACTTCCTCGTCACACAATACACAAATCGATCGGTTCCTTCTCTCTTAAGAGTTATTTCACAACTCTCATGTATTACCTCATATTTGAGTTTTGAATATGTCACAGGTTTCGTAATCACAGGATTCTGTCACTCATGTGACACAGGTAACGTTTCATTCAGGGCGATGTCCATAAATAATTATTAAATCTTCTAAAGATTGGCTGAATATCGAATGAACTCGACTATAATGCAAGTAAATTATCATAAATCTTGAAAATAAGTTTAAAACGAAGTGCCAAGTAAAAAACAACAACGAAGAATTAGAATTAAAATTGCAAGAAGTATGAAAATAAAAGTGGTTATACGAAATCGACCTGAAAAATACAGGGAGTAAGACAAACGTAGTAGGACCAAGTATGGAATTTCATTCACAGGACGAGATATTTCAAGTTGTAAGATAAATAAATATTTTCAAAAAGCGCTCAACTTGGAAAAGACACTAGATTTTGAGGGAAAATCTGGCTTTATTTATGTTTCCCACTGAAACCGCATAAACGACCAAGGTTCGCATTTTCCACGATTAACAGTCTTGATGTAAGTGACATGTGACGGGCTCCGGGTAGATTCCACACATCAAGGCTGTACGGATAGCTTCTCCACTAGGATCAATCGGGAACACACATAGTCTAACGTTACAGAGGCGTTTGCTGCCTCCATCATCAGGAAATAAGTACACGGCGCAACCCACAAGACTTTCGCCTGTAGTATTTATTGAACTGTCTCTTTTATAAACGAGTACAAAACTTCAGTTTCTTTGTAAGCGAAGATAAATTACATTTTTCCATATTTATAACAAAATAAAGTAATTCATTACTGTTGGATATAAATGTGATTTTTAGACTATGTACTTTTAGTTTTAACAAAAATATAAGAAAGATATTACCGAATCTCTTCAACTACGTAATATCTTGTATTTCTCTCCAACGCTGGTGTTCGAAGGAAATCGGCGGTGGCGGTGTCAGTGGGGTAACAAGGTAAAGGAGCTTACGACCCACGTGGGAAACATTACCAAGATTGCGAGAGGGGAAGAACCTGATTCCACCTACCTACTGTAGACACCACGGGGAGGAAAGCTTTAAACAGAGTTACAAGGAGATTTTGACGAAACGATATGCTACAGAGCCTTCCGAGTCTTCCTAAGTTTTACAGCAGTTTATCCCTCTCTGCGGCTGTAATGATCCACGCAGGAAGAGGTTTAGACCTTCTATAAAAACAAAATGAAAACGTTAATAAATTACTCAAAATTCACAACGCCCTGAAATTGTCACGGTTGAGTGATTAGCCGTCCTGTTTCGTATATGGGAAATATCCGGGTTGAAAACTCAGCCCGGAAACTGGTATCCTGTTTCGTGGTTTTCCTCATACTCTCCCAGCATTTACAATCATCATACCACTTTAAGATATATAACACGACCACCTGAGAAATGTCGTTCAACAACCCAAGAAGAAGACTGAAAGGAAATATAACTCTTAACCGGATGGAGCAAAGTCCTTGTTGGGAAGTTCAAAGTCACTGAGCTGGTCTAAAAATCCCCAGTCTTCTGTGGAACCCGAAGGCGGTCACAAACTCCACCAATGGACCCTGTCCTCAGTCATGCCACCACATCATTTCTTTATCATCGACTCGAAGACCATCCTCCCATGTACGCCAAGATTTGCCAACTGAATCCCTTCACGTCTTCGAACTTAATTTGTACATCTCCCCACATGCATGTTACATGTCCAGCCCATCTCATCCATCCGATCCGACAACCACGTGGCTACTTATCAGCTGAAACTCCAAGAAGTTCTCTTTCAGTTATTGAAATGGAGATAAAACATCTCGACAGCCCAGTTTAAGAGGCAGGATGAAAGATGGAGTTCAATGTAAAACAGTAAGAAGTTTAAATGAAGCTGAAATTAACTCAACCTTATAATTGAATACTCTGGCCACAGTAGGAATATTTTCTCAACAAGGGAAACTTCTATCTGCCGAGGCTGTGGGTGTAGGGCGGCGCGGGGGGGGGGGGGGGGGGAGCAGATGGGAATTTAGCAAAACGACGCGAAATCAGTGTCGCCATTGTTCGCGACGAAGACGAGAAACATCTTAAAGTTGAGGGCGAAAGGTGTGCGAACTGGGAATCGAGAATTTTGGTATTAAGGGGCAAACGAGGAAGACTCGAGTAGCAAAACTTTATTTTCCCTGCTCTGCAATTTGGGACACCGAATCCCCCCCCCCTCACAAACTTATCTCCCACATGGTATACGTACCATAATATCTTTCCTAACCGTCAGGAATGTTTTTGAAAGTAAAATGTCTCTTTTACACCGTTTTCTTAAAAAAATCCTCATGTCTAGGGAAATCAAGTTTGGCTAAGACAGGCAAGGCAGGGGATAGACCACGTAATCTTGCCCTGTGGGGCGCAGGGCGAAGGCAAACTGTAAAATAGTAGAGGAGATGCCAAGAATATAAATTAATTAAAATATAAATAAATAGTTGCTTATTTGCTACGTTACGATTTAATTATATTTCCCATCTGACGTCCAATGTGGTCCACAGGAGAGCCTAAACACGACTGTCGAAATCCATTAATCTTAGTTATTGTTTCCAGTCAGGTCACCTCTCTTTAAACACGTTTCATTACAGGCAGAATATTTAACTTCCTAAAATGTATCTACGTCTCTGTGATCCAGAAGTGTGCAACATTTAGTTTTCTTAATACATCTGATTCTCACTGTCAATAATCTCTACGTGATGGAAATAATTTAAAGTCTTTCTTACCTGAAGATGGCTGTATTCTGGGTTGTAGCGCCGTGTAAGTCTGGTAGACGTTTTCCTCATTGCTATGATAATGCAGGCAGCAATGACCTCTGAAACGTCGGTAAACTTCTACCAGACTTACACAGCGCTACAACCCAGAAGACAGCCATCTTCAATCTCACCGCCGCGAAAACCTCAAATCCTACATTCTTTCTTACACACAATCTACAGCTCCTAAACCCACAAACTACATAAAAATTCTCTTCACACACGCATATCGTTTGCATTATATTGGCCATCAAATGGCGAATGTAATCTATAACAACCTGTATGCCACTTATTTTAATTAGTTCAGAATTTGAGTTATTTTATACGTAAGAAATATACAGAAACCTGTACTTAGATGTTGAAATTTGACCTAGGAAGTACATTAAAAGCTCAATTGTTTCCCTGTAGTAAAAAGTAAGTTTGTCCCATTATACGCCATGTAGGCGCTTGGGGGGAGAGTCGGTATAGCTTCTATTCATTCTTAACCTAGGCACTAGATGGGGTTAGTGGTCAGCATCACGCCCCGGCCGGCTTTACCCCCGGGAAAGGACCCCGGTACCCATTGGACGGTAGAGGAGGCTGGGTGGGGCCCAGAGCCGGTCTGGACGCATAGGCTAGAGGAAAAATCCTCTGCCCCCGTCGGGGTTCGAACCCCGGCCGTCCAGCCCGAAGCTAGTCACTTTTCTGACTGAGTTATATCCAGGCTCATTGTTTCCTTGTTGTAAGGTTCGTTTATGGTACAAAACCCTTGTGAACAGAGTACGACAGCCCGTTACAGTCAACATAACGAATATGATTGGTAGTTAGAGCTTTGTTGACAATGTGTCATGCAATACTGAAATCTCGCAGTATCAGGTTTAGCACGATAAATCCACATAACAAATGCACTTTTCATATCTGAACAGATACACGTACCTACCCGAATAAATGTTTGTTTATGTCGTTGGTTGTTGTTGATTTGCATGACAACTGAACATCTAAAAACTTCCAATTAAATCCGATTTATGCCATACATTTATAAAATGCCTTAGTCCTACAAGTAATACGATTTGCCTTCAAATACATACCACCTGGTTATAACTTTAATTCATTGCTTAAAGTCCACTGATGTATTTAAACAAATGACTGCGGTTTCTTTGAACAAATTCATGTTTCTGCATTGGGTTTTCTAGTATACTCAAGAAAAAGTTCGATCGTATACAATAAAGTATTTAAGGTTCTAAATTTTAACAAAATAAAATTGGAAATGTTCAACTGGAAGTTTGTGGGGGAAACCGGCCACGTAGTCGAGTGAAACCGCTGAGGGAAATTAAAAAAAACTGTAACTTGTTTCAAATAAAATAACTGTATAAGCGTACACAAATATAATTAAAGTAAACATGGATCGATATCAGTGAACATTTCCTGAAAATAACTCGGTATAATTCTTAACGAATGTCAGATTCATTACTGACACACAGAAACTTAATGTGAAAGTGGCTTATAGTAGCAGCAGCTTTGTCTCTCAATTTATCAAATATCAGCCACGTCATCAATTATCACGGAGTTTATCAGTTGTTTCTGGATTCTCTCAAGCTCAGTGCCGGGTTTTATATTTATGTAGTGTTCTGTCTGAGGACAGGTCCATATGAACAGGATCCTTCCATCCTTTTCTCGGACTGTGACCTGTTCATATACGTTCTTGGCAGATGATCCAGAAGTGGTTTGCCATTGCCTTCTTCTGTGTGTGAATGGAGTAATTGTTGGGATGCCACGGAGGAAAACTCCGTGTTGCCTAGACCACGGCCTTGCCCAACACAAGTTATAAATTCGGGCACCGCCGGGAATCGAACCCGAAACCCCAGGATTACAAGGCCAGCGTTCTAACCGCTAGACTACCGTGGCTTGTTGGTGCCGGGTTAGTACTTTAAAACAGGCCACGACAGCTTCCTGAAAAGCTCTTATCCACCGTTCATGATAGTTGACCAGACTTAATCAATGCCATAATCTCTGCAGTCGAGACAGTGTCATTAAAAATCCAAGGAGTCATCAGTGGACGAAGTCGAAAAGTATACCGACTGAAAAATGGATACGTAAATCTGTTGGGAAGATGGCCACGAACGGTGACTTCTAAAGGGTTTAAAGTCTACTTCAAGACTAATCCAGGACTCAACTACAACTCCTCAGCCGTCCCGCATTTCTTCTGACTGTAGGCCTTGACGAAATAACTGGAAAGCCGTGCGATATGATTCCACATGCAATTAGTGGTCGTGCCAATTTGTCCTGTAAGTATCTAATATTTCCATGATATTTTGTACTCCAAGTTCGAAGCGTGTAACGCCATTATCCTCTTGGTCCTTTGAAGTGCAGACTGCTAATGGCCTTAATAACTTCACTTCAGCACCTTCGATCCATTTCCTTTGAGGGGCTGTCAGTGTCCAATTTTCTGCATCGTACGGCAAAACGGAGACAGCCAGTGTTTTATAAAACTTCAGAACTGTTCATTTTCCTTACACTTTTCAATAGAGTTCTCTTTACTGTGCCTGGTAGCTGTAGGAACGTGGCCAATTTAACTTCCGGGTCTTTATTTATAACATAAGAAATATTACATCAAAAGTAGTTAATACAGATCATTTGTTCTAATATTTGGTTACTGATTTATATTTTAGATCTGAGATGTTCTGCTTCAATTTTATTTGTAGATAACCGGAGGTTTTGTATGATCTGAAGCTTTCACGGCGACTAATGAAGAAGACACCAACGTTTCGACCCTGAGGACGACGACGAAGATTGTTCTCGAAACGTCGGTTGATAGCCCGAGAAGAAATCACCAAACCGCCTGTTTTATTCCTTTGCAAATTTATTTAAGCTGTAAGTTTTACTCAGTCTGATAGGACAATCTGATCGTCCGCATATATTAATGAATTTAGGGGTATGTCACCATATAAAGTGGTTTGTTTTCAGTTGCAATTGACATTAACTTGAAACAAAACAAGGTTTGTGATACAGGACATCCTTATCTAACTCCTTGTGATATTTCTGTGCAGTCCTCACTGTTTCTGAATTTTATTTTGATTGTAATCACTGTGTGGATATACATATTCTTAATAGTTCCTATTAAATGTCTTGGTTTACAAGATTTCTTAAAGTTTTACTTTGTTTACTGTGTCAAACGATTTCTCTAATTCGATAAAACCTATATATGCTGGTATATTACCCTGCCTGTGTTTATAAATGATTTGGGATACACACGATCCACAACCGATCGATGTTTTCTGAACCCATTCTGTTCTTTGAGGAGTCAGATATCATCATCAAACGTTGTGTGATCATTTTAACACATATTTTGTGTCCCGTATTTAAGAAAATTATTCCCCTGTAATTTTTTTCAACTCTACTTGTCACATTTTTTATATATATGGGGACTTTAACTGCTATTCTCCACTCTTCTGGTATATTGTCATATATCCAATATATATTTATAAAATCAAAGAATTTTACAAGAAAACTGTTTAGTACATACTTAAAAAGTTCATTATTAAAGCCATCTGACCCCAGTGATTTCCTGTCTTTGATTTTTTAATTACCTACGTACGATCTTCTGTAATTATCAGGTCGACTTTGTCATGCCTCTTTTTATTTGTGATTAAAGCAGCTCTTTCTTCATTCCACATGTGAAAGGCCCTTTTAAACTTTCCCTTTTCCTTTTCCCAAGGCTTCCGTAGCTGATTGCATTACTACAGATTTTAGTGTTTCCCCATTCTGTGTTAATTTTTAAGCTTTTAAGTGACTGAGAATGATACTTTTTTTAATTCTGCTTTGATGTAAGTATCGGATACTAGGCTCTTCCAATAAATTCACTCTGAAGACCTCTTCATCTAGTTTGGTCTCTAAATAATTTTACGCCATTTTTGAGGGGGGCAGATTTTTTGTACATTAATATGAAATGATCTGGCACTTACATCAAAACCTCTACGTACTCTGGTGTCCTTTACGAGCAGAGTGGTTTTTCTGCTTGATGAAATATAATCAATAATACATCTACTGCCAAATGCACATTAAGTTATCTTACGAACTTATTTATGGCGGTAAAAGGTATTAGTTATTTTAAGTGCATTCCACGAGGCAAATTAATCTAGTGCGCTGTCAACTCTGGTATTTAAATCGTCCGCAACATTAAGGTAATCATTTGTATTTATTTTGGCAATTATTACTTGTAGTTCATGGTTTATTCTACTTTCCTTCCTCAGGTGTAGACACCAACTACGAGGTGCGATCGGAAAGTTTCCATACTGTGTCAATAGAGGGCGAACCGGATGTAGTACGAGCTTCTGACTTTAGGGGGTGCGGCCTACATTCATAGTGAATCAGTGTACCAGCCGGCATCATCGAATTAGCATTTGTTTCTTAGTTACGGGCGTTTTGGTAGTGCATTACACCGACCCTCCTGCGATTTCGGAATGGCGTGTGCATCAAATTTTGCCAAAGACTCGCCAAAACGGCTACGGAAACCTATGAAATGCTAAAGCAAGCATTTGGGGATCTTGCAAGAACCGACCGCAACTTCCTTCCTAAGCTGCGTGTGACTTCTTCCTCTTCCCAAAGATGAAAATTCAGCTAAAGGGAAGGAGATTTGAGACGATAGAAGAGATTCAGGCAGAATCGCAGATGGTGCTTGACAGGCTGACAAAGAAAGATTTCCAGGGATGCTTCCAGGCTTGGCAGCGGCGCTGGGATCGTTGTGTTCACTCCCAGGGGATATACTTCGAGGGTGATGGATGAATTTAATACCTGAGATAAGTGTACGGGTTTTTATACGCGCAGTCTAGAAACTTTCCGATCGCATCTCGTATACTCATGTACCCTCTCCTTGATTTATATCGTATATAAGTATTCTCTCATTGGCTCTGTTCATCCATTTTGATTTCAACCATGTCTGATATTCTAATACTTCAACGCCACTATAGAATAATACATCATCTTTTAATTCTTGAGAACCAAATCAATGTTTTATATCTCGGCCTCGCGAGTAATGTGGGGAAAAAAAATGTTGGGCACTCACATGGAAATCTGACGTCTAAATCAGTTAATTTTCAAACATTTTTTATACTTGTTTATATTTCTAGATTCTTAAATATGTGTATATAATGGTGTTAGAATAGAAAATCATAATTAATATGAAACACGAGCCAGTCTACTCATTAATCTACAGATCCAAGCGTATGAAAACAGGTTCACAGTACAACCATAATTGGCAGAATTAATATATTTTAATCAACTAAAATGTTAATAATTTTAACGTAATTCGGGATTTGCCGGAATGTTAATCCCTTCGTGTAAAATATTACAAATTTATTAACAACAGTTACCGATATGAAACCATTTTAACATGTTTCTCGTACCCCCGCTCTTGGTGTAGGCCAAATACATGCTTATATTCTATCATAACACTCGCATTCATATCGATAAAATGGAAGCTCAGGGGTATTACACAGTACGCGTACTGTTTTCAAGGCTTTTCTGGGATTTAACACACCTAAGCGTATTATTTACTGTCTACATGACAAATCTGCTTCACGCACATAAATTTTACTGCACGAAATAATGCAGTGCTTTTGTTCTGAATAATGCGAGAGTTTGAATGGATATTTGCCTGCATTTCAAATACGAATGCCTACAAAAAAATGTCGAGGCAGACGGGAGGTCCACACGAAATTTAATACCTACATAATAATACGATAAAAGGACGGATTGTCCAGTTGCAAAACGCGTAATTCTCCCGAAGCACGATCACAAAACTTGTTTATCTTCAGATAAGCGTAGTAATTTAAGGTAAAAAATAAACTTTTTGCCGGTGGGATGACTAGTGGACGGGCGTACTCCGTATCATGTGAGGAGTTTTGTTTCGACTGTCAATCGAGGACGTTCATCACTTCGCCCGGCAAAGTGTCGAAGCGTGTGACAGACGTGGAGGATTTCGACAAGTGTCTTATTTAGCACTCAATTCATTAATTTTGTGTCAAAGTAAATATGTCGGCAATTATCTATAAACTACTTCCGAAACTGAGTTACATGATTAATTTAAAACGCGGTAACACTAACTTAAGATCAGTTATTATTTGGTCAAACACATTTTATTTTGATTTTAAAGTTGTTTGTAAAGATTATCACAGCATACAGTGAGGAATTATATATCAGATAAAGTTTTCTTTGCATGGGTTATACATCCTGGACCACAGCATACAGAATGAAACTTCACTTTCTGCAGCCCCAAACAAAAGTTCGAGATAACGAAGATTTCCGACAGCCAGCTTCGTACTTATCGTCGTGAGAACACCAAATCCTAATTACCCATCTTGGTTGAACCAAACGGAACTTTAATGAACCAGTCCCTGTGAATGCGACCGTGGACTGTTTTATTATTCGTCCCACAGTCCAGGACGTGTTGGTTAGTCCCACCCCAACATACACATTCCTTCTACAAAGCAATCAGAATATTGTAACCGCTCATCTGACATTATTATTTATTTAGTGTTCTGTCTGACGACAGGTCCATATGAACAGGATCCTTCCATCCTTTTCTCGGACTGGGACCTGTTCATATACGTTCTTGGCAGATGATCCAGAAGTGGTTTGCCATTGCCTTCGTCTGTGTGTGAATGGAGTAATTGTTGGGATGCCACAGAGAAACCGGGGAAGCCCCCGGAGGAAAACACCGTGTTGCCTAGACCACGGCCTTGCCCAACACAAGTTATAAATTCGGGCACCGCCGGGAATCGAACCCGAGACCCCAGGATTACAAGGCCAGCGTTCTAACCGCTAGACCACCGTGGCGGTTCTACACATCTTATAAACTTATAATTTCTTTTTTTCTCCTGTAACTTCATTATTACTGTGTGTCTTAAATAGTAGTGACTTCAAACTTCAATCCGAATTATTGGTGGCTGGTGTAAACAGACCGTTAACACGACCTGAGATAATAGCCCACCTACCGATGAGCTACGACCCAATATCCTACGCCTTGAGATACCCACAAAGCCCTCGGGAGTAGAGGCAGTCGAACACCCACCCTGAAACGACAGCTATCACGAGGTTACAGCGGACGGTTACAATTTAGACTTTAAAAAGTCACATAATTAAGATATTCGGTCACTTTGATTGTCTATTGTCTCATACCAAAAGCTGTTAGGCCTAATGCGGACGATTACTGTTACCCCGTCTCCTTTAGACAGTCTTGTATTGCTTTACAACAGCCTAGAATCTTAAATCATAATGCAGACGTTTCGGACAACTCAAAAATCGAACAAATCACAGAACAGATGGCGTTTCGTTAATGGCATGTTCATAAGAAACGTTTATAAAGGCTTCATTGCCTGCCCTTTCGATTTTCGAAACTGTTGAAAAAAAAGACTGCAATACCTTGGACACTTTTCTACGGAAAACGAGAAATGTCCTCCTGGGACTAGTCTATCCAGAAAAATTAGGATACACACTCTTTGGTCAGCTTTATTTAACTGTTCGGAGACAACTGTACAATAAGGCAAGATGAGTCTTAGTCCGGTTGCCCGATCCAAAATCTGCAATGCATTTTGTTTAGGTCGCACACATAAATCCGCTATTGGGTTCCTACTCTCCGAGGGCTGTTAGCGCACAGGTCCTGTGTAAGCTCTTATATACCTTTACATTTTAAACTTAAGTTTACGTGTAACTTTTGTAATGCACAATAACTTTCGAGTACTGTAATACTTTTTTCAGATTTTTTTAACGTCGCTTAGTTGGGTAAGTATTGATTTTCACTCTCCATTGGCTTCTTTATACAATTTGGAGCATCTGACATGAAACACGCGCCTCAAGTTTTTCTTTTGTTATCCTTACTTTTTAATTCCATGCTAAAAAAAAACTTGTCTTGAAAATCAATATTATTTAATATCAAACTTTTTATGTAACATCAATGCAGAGGGACAAAAGAACAGCGCTGTATTTAAATAATTCTTTTACGCTTATACATCCAGTAGATTAAACCCATACAATATCGGATCGTGCCTTATCAGATCTTGATGTTTGGAATTAACTGCTTTATACAGAGTCTACAATTTATGACAATCGGGGCGTGCTTGGATTGCGTGGTCGGCCGGCGCTGTGTTGACGTGGGCAGGACTAGTGCGTGTTCTTCCCTCTACTGCAAACACGTGAGTACATTCGCCTTCTCTGCATGCCACCATAAATAGTATCTTTTTTAAATTTAACGTCTAACGCTAATAAGTGAAATGGGAAAGAATCTTTGTAGAATTATTTGCTTTGAAACGGTGAACACTTCAAGTTACAAGCAGCCCCGATCCCAAGGGGTGCCATCAGCTGTAAATCCCTCAGTTCTGCTGACCTCTAAACTTACATTTGGTAAACAAAAAAAGGCAGCAGGTGGCGAGTGGACCTACTGTAGACGCAATGCATGCACAAAGAATTTTACTGGGAAATCCTCTTTAAAAAAACACCCACGTGAACACCAAATAAATACAATTATAATAGGATTAGGGAGATTCGTTGTGAGAATTAGAGGAAAA